TAGTTGCATTTTTAATAACTAAAATTCTAAATATTCAAATGATAAGTAAAATTTTGTTCAGTCTTTGCATCGAATTGAAAACACACATTACATTTTTAAGAATTTCGAAATTTCCTTTAAAACAAACACTTACACAAAATACAAAATAATAATGTATGAAGGTTCGGCTAAAAACAAAACACAAAAGAAAATTTAATATGAGCCAATTGAAAATATAATGTTTAATAATTTTGTTCTGATTGGTATTTTTTGAAACAAACTATTTCTATTAAAATCTCAACTGAATATATATCCTTTGTACATTAACAAGTAGATACTAGCTTAGTTTTTGAACTAGAAAAAATTATTGTAATAAATATTTCAATAAATAAATAAATCATTTAATAATTCAGAATAAAGTTTCGTTATTTAGATACATGATTATATTATTATGATTAGATATGTTTACCGATATTTAGCTATGAAAAGTAAAACAAATACAGAGTTGTAGTACAAATAATAATCCAATTTTTTTTATAACCTATATTGTTTATAGAGAACACTCCCTTAGAAAACACAAGGTCGAGTTGACATATCCTAAATCAGAGTATGTTTAATTGACCCTAGAAGGTTTGCATACAACTGCATACAATTAAAGTGCATCATGCATTTATATTTGATTTTAATCAGATTAAACAATGTTCAACCTCTTCAGAGTGTATCCGTTTAACTATATAGGTCTGAGTCTGAAAATTCACCCTGTCCTTTATCTGTTGAATCTGTTAAACAAAATACTCACTAAATCAAAGTGTATCTGTTTAACTATATAATCTCTGAGCCTGAGCATTCACACTGTCCTGTATCTGTTGAATCTGTTAAACAAAATACTCACTAAATCAAAGTGTATCTGTTTAACTATATAAACTCTAAGACTGAACATTCACCTTGTAACTGTTGAATCTGTAATTAAATGATGTGGCATCTATTTAACTATACACTTTTTGCAATCTAAATTCATTTGTATCTTTGTATGTATTTAAACAGATGTAACAGATAACACATGGATGTTTAGCTTCAGAGGGCGTGTATTTGAGCAGATTTAGCAGAAAGACGTGTATGTATAGGTTCAGAAAGACGTGTATGTATACTAGTATAGGTTCAGAGGGCGTGTATTTGAGCAGATTTAGCAGAAAGACGTGTATGTATAGGTTCAGAAAGGAATGTTTAAACAGATTTAACGATATAGTTTATACGTGTGGCTGTTTAGGTTCAGAGAGTATGTAAACAGATTTAGATGATACAAGTGAATGTTTACGTTCAGAGGAGGTGTATTTAAACAGATTAAACAAACAGACGTTAAGATTTAGGTACATAGAATATTATTTAAATATATTAAACAGATACACATCGAGGTTTAGGTTCAAAGAGCATGTATTTAAATAGATTTTACAGATTCACGTGGATGTTTAAGTTCATAGAGTACGTATTAAAAAAGATTTAGCAGATACACATGAATGTCTAGATTTAGAGTAAATCTGTTCAAATAAATCATCTCTGAACCAAAACATCCACGTGCATCTGTTAAATTTGTTTTTATACATACTGTATGAACCTAAACATCAACGTGTATCTGTTGAATCTGTTCATATACATACGTTATGAACTTAAACCTCCATGTGTATCTGTCAAATCTGTTTAAATATATCCTCTATGAACCTAAACATCCACGTGTATCTGTTTTACCCTCAATTGTTTTATTACATAATTAAATGTAATCTGTCGTATAATGTGGATTCACATGATTGCGTTAGGAAGCTAAAAAAAGCCAAGAAAATGACCAAATAACAACAAAATTGTAATTGTTTTATTATTCTATTCTAATTTTAAAACTTTGAATAAGATTTTAATATTTTTTACATCATCTCTGTTATCCTAATACATTGGTGATCAACTGTTTATAATTAGCATACATAATTGATTTTATAATTGAGAAATATTTTGTATATAATACTATATTTATATATATGATGGAAGAGAAGGTTTAGGTCTCATGGCAGTCCAAGTCTTCTGTTATCCCTCACGCTAGTCCAGATGAATTATATAATTTACTCTTCTGTTATCTCTCACGCTATTCCAGTAGAACTATATTATTTACTCTTCTGTTATCCCTCACGCTAGCCCAGTTGAATTATATAATTTACTCTTCTGTTATCTCTCACGCTAGTCCAGTTGAATTATATCATTTATTCTTCTGTTATCTCTCACGCTAGTCCAGTTGAATTATATAGTTTACTCTTCTGTTATCTCTCACGCTAGTCCAGTTGAATTATATCATTTACTCTTCTGTTATCTCTCATGTTAGTACAGATGAATTATATCATTTACTCTTCTGTTATCTCTCATGCTAGTCCAGTTTAATTATATAATTTACTCTTCTGTTATCCCTCACGCTAGTCCAATTGAATTATATCATTTATCCTTCTGTTATCTCTCACGCTAGTCCAGTTGAATTATATAATATACTCTTCTGTTATCTCTCACGCTAGTCCAGTTGAATTATGTTATTTACTCTTCTGTCATCTCTCACGCTAGTCCAGATGAATTATATTATTTACTCTTCTGTTATCTCTTACGTTAGTCCAGTTGAATTGTATAATTTACTCTTCTTTTATCTCTCACGCTAGTCCAGTTGAATTATATTATTTACTTCTCTGTTATCTCTCACGCTAGTCCAGTTGAATAATATAATTTACTCTTCTGTTCTCTCTCACGCTAGTCCAGTTGAATTATATCATTTACTCTTCTGTTATCTCTCACGCTAGTCCAGTTGAATTATATAATTTACTCTTCTGTTATCTCTCACGCTAGTCCAGATGAATTATATAATTTACTCTTCTGTTATCTCTCACACTAGTCCAGTTGAATTATATCATTTACTCTTCTGTTATCTCTCACGCTAGTCCAGATGAATTATATAATTTACTCTTCTGTTATCTTTCACACAAGTCCAGTCGAATTATATCATTTACTCTTCTGTTATCTCTCACACTAGTCCAGATGAATTATATAGTTTACTCTTCTGTTATCCCTCACGCTAGTCAAAGTCGAATTATACTTTTTTTCTGAACCAGTGATAAGAGAGTTTTGCATAGATTATATTTGAAGTCGAAAAAATGCTATATCTTCTATAGCGGGGTCTGTTGTGTACAATTAGAGTACATGACCAATTACAGATTAGAAGACACAGGATATTTTAAACAGGAGGTCATAGATGACAGTCATAATACATTTCGAACTGACATACCTTGGATTCATAATCGTTTTAAAACACTATCGAAAAAATCTATCGTTTTTTTGTTTCGTTTTTCAGTTTTTTAACAAAGGGTCGCAACTAACGACCCACTTATTTTGAACTTTTGAAAAACGAAAAACAAAACAACGATACGATAGGTTATTTAAAAAACAATCGTTTAAAATAATCTCACGAATGAGTTTTGTAGTTTCAATTTTTTTAGTTTTAGTCAAAAATATTTTTTTTTATGTTTTCTGATCCAAGGGTTTTCCGATCCAAAATGTATTTTGTCTGAAAAATGTCGTTAATAATCATTAACTATTGAAACGATCGTCAACGATCTTCAAAAATTAAAATACGACAAATACCTTCGTTAACGAAATGAAAACCTAAAACTTAAAAACTACAAATATTTTTCAAAAAAGGTTGTTTTTTAAAACGACCATTTCGGTATTCACTTTTCTTCGTAGTTTTAAAAACGAAACAACGATCTTTTTTCCAAAAAGTGAAAACAATCCATCCCTGGATATACCATATCGTGCTAGAACGAGTATTGCATATTCATTTTGGCGTATTAAATTAGATAAGTAGTTTTTATTATTTAGCCTATAGTCGATCGAACGTATTCGTTCAAACGTTCAATCATATCAATTGTTACTGTTAAAGATAAATAAAAACTATGAACTTCGGGTTTATCGTTTGCTTCTGAATTACTGTATTTCTCTTTCAATCAAAACTTATTTAGTCTGCAGCAAATAGTACTTGATAATCTATTTGGTCCGCAATTCGTCTCAAAATTTATAGCAATGTCGATTTCCATATAATTTTGAGTTTTTTTCTGTTAGCAGCTTAAAAAACAAAAATGCCATATAATATAATTTATATAATTTATATAAAAATTGAAATTATTTTTGCAAATTAACAAAAATATTCGCACGTTTAAATGATTTATAAAAATTGAATTACTATTATTTTATCCAATCCATCGAAACGGGATTTAATAAATTCCAGTTAATTAAAAAACCTTTAATTAACTCATTTCACAGTATTCATCCATGGTACAGAAAAATTACATTTTCCCGCCCTCCTGGCGTTTTATCTAGCCCAGATTTATGCAATTAAAGCAACCCCCTCATGCAATACCAAACTGCATTAGACCTGAAGCATTCAAGCCGAAGGGGATGCATGGAGTGGATCCAAGCCAAATTCAAATTTTTTATCCAACTCCTTGAATCAGATTTGAATTGTTCAGTCATGCAGTTCCACTCTTGTATTATTGAATTATAAGATTAAAGGGAGTGACCAGCAACAAGGATTGTTGAAATGAATACGCAATTTTCAATTTTTATAGAACAAAGATTATGATTAATTTTAGACCAATAAACCACATTAATCGGATGTATACTCTCTGAATTCAAGTGAAAATTTAACAAAAAAATTTGTGCTAACAAACAATTTGCTTTAAAAAATTGTCAAGTCAGAATTATTTCTCCATTCTTTAAAGTTATTTCTTTTCAATAAATTGTATTCAAACGTTTTCATAGTAAAGATAAAAGACTTTCAACGGCCTGCTCCCTTTTTACACAAATCATGAATCTTACATTTCAGATCTAGCTAAATCCTAATCAATTTTTTTAGATCTACAGTATCCCACCTTGCTCTTTTATTCTATAATTCTCCTAGTTAGTGCTATGTACTTTTATGCAGTTGATAAATGAAATTTATTTTCAATTGCTTCAATTTTTATTCTAATTTTGATCGTGGGAAAAATATATTTTTAAATTAATAAAGTTATGTTCGGTTAGACTGCTACTTCTTGAAGGTTTTCAGCTCCATGATTGATCATCTTTGTGAACACACTTTCAAAATCCCGAACCCAATCTGCGTTACTTTTGCTATACTCCAAAACCTTGGCGGCTCCAGGTGTTGCTCCACAACTGTCATAAGTACAAGAAGCTTCCCCGTTGTCGTTGAGAGTAAAGTCCTTGAACAATCCCATATCAGCGTTCAGCATCATTCCAGTTCCGCTGTTCCACTGAACCTTAGGACTTGATCCAGTTAAATCAACATTGCGCTGCCTCCATCCAGATGATGACATTGTTGAATAGTAGTGGTTGTTAAACAGGGTTGTTTCTCCTCTAACCCAGGGACCTTGGTATCCAGATGCAGTTGAATGAGCGGCACCTAGGGTATGAACTCCCATCAATGCAATGCTTTCATCGTCGGTAAATCCAAATTCATCCCTAAAGTAATCAACAACTCCTTCATAGTTTAGGTTTGCTCCAGGTAGTCCGTCAATGCTGTCTGTGAAAGGTGCAGTTGCACAGTCCTTCCTTCCTGTTGTGAAAACAAGAGATGATTCTGGGACAGCACAAGCTGCCTCGGAGCACGCTGCGTTAGCTTGAGCAGTTGTATTCTTCAGAGCGTAGAGGGAGGCATACACCCAGAAATCAGCTCTTGACATCAGGCTTGAGTATCCAGTCCTTTTGTTAGTGTAAGCTTTATCTAATCGTTCAATGATGTTTTGCAGACCAGCATTACTGGGATCATTTATGTTTACACATCCATCACACCCACCAACGCAGTCATGGAATACTAGTCTAACAGTAGTTGCCAAGTTTGCACCAGTAATAAAGGAAGAAAATGTGGCATCAATTTTCGCTAGGTCACTTGAATCAAGTGCAGCTGTTCCTCTCAGAGCCAAAGTTACAAAAAGAAATATGTATCCAATCATATTGGCTGCTCAATACTGTTTGATTTTGTACCTGGAGTCTATTTATATTCTGGTAAAAGGTGTACACTTTTTCCTTTTGTTTGCATATTACATTTAACATATGTTAAAGTACTTTGCTATCATTAAACAACTATAGTATTCATAATTTAAAGTAGAAACTAAATAATAGAAATAAGTAATTTTTCCAGGTTGGATTAGAAATTATGCGTCTAATCAAAAGGCCTTTAAATATTTAAAAGCTAAAATTTTCAATATTTAATCTCTAGATTTTTTTTTTTTAAAGACTCTTAAAAATGATGAGTTCACATGTTACTATTTGTCCTTTATATTTAAAAATTGTCCGATATAATTTATGCATGTTTTTTAGAACCTCCTTAGCATGTTCCTCAACCTTTTAGTCATAGGTACACTTTGTCTAGAACACTTATCCATATATTCAACATCCATACCTTCACTAAACCTGACTCTGATCTTACTCCACGAGACTTGAATTGTTAAAACCTTAAAATCTTTTCATTCACAGAACAAAACATGAAAAAAAATTATTAACTCTGTTAAAAGAGTTGACTTGTATCTTTATTCTCATATACATAGATTAATTAAAATAACAGATAGGACACTAGATGTCGTCTTTTTAAGATTTATGTGTGTTTTGTTCACAATAACCCAAAGGCAGACCGCAGAAGCCAAGTTGGCGTAAAACAGGCTCCCTCTCTGTCTTGTAATTCCACTTGGGTTAAAAATGTCGAATTTATTTTAACCTATGTTACCTACTGGGTACACATGCTCCTTAAAAAGCCAATTCGGTTCAGCCGTTTGGACAGCTATAGCTAAAATATAAATATATATTTGTTTAAATATACATTTTAGATATTTAGATATATTTCTATTTTTTTTTTCAATATAGAAATATACATTATGAGTTATTAAAATAATTTTGACTTCTGAGAAGTGAGGATCGTCATGAGGCATGAGTTTCAAAACTGATATATATATATATATATAAGCGAAGAGCTTTATATTAAAGATGTCTAATTTTTACGTCGACCAAAGCTTACATGAAGAATGAAAAATTTGAACTAGAAACGAAAAACCAATTGTGTTTATCTTTTTTGTCCACAACTCATTCCAGCGTGGCAAAACTCAGCAAGTATTTTTTAAAGACAAATAGAGAATTTTAAGGTAAAAATATGGATATCTCATTCATTCTCGATCATAAAAAGCTTGTAAGGTTACCGTTGTGATTCGAAAATTCCACTTTATGAATAAAAAATAACTTTAAATTATGTCTACAGTCCGTTTTAATCATAAAAAATCGCTATGCTATGTCAAAACCAATTAAAAAACTCGGTCCAATGCTATTTAAACACTTAAGAAAAGAATTGAGCCACAAACTTGTAACCTAATGCATAATGGCGGAAATCATTTGTATTTCAAATAAATATTTGATCTAACGGAATTCATAGTTTGAAATACTTAAGGTCCACGACATTGGATTGCAAAAATATTGGTATTATAAAATCAGAGTTTTTACATAGAACAAAATGCAAGAAAATTGTAGAATTGGCAAAAGTAAAAATAAAGACCATAAAAACATGTAAAAAATGTTGCGAAAATCTGAACTAATCTCCCCAAATAAGACGAGTATGAAGAATAGAAAATTGTAAATTCTTTTTAAAAAATAAAGATTATAACAACTTTTGTTTTAAAAAATGTTCAGAATAAGCTTATTTTCATTATTTTTTTGTTTTTGCAAATTTTCTTTTTCACACTGTTTTATGCTTTATATTACATTACTGTATGTAAACATTAACAAATGTCCTAATATTCTCAGTATTTGACACAGAAAGCAAAGATGGGACAAAATATGAATTACCAGTTAAAACTTGTTGAGTCTGGTTCTTCTTGGATAACATGTTTAGCCCAAAAAGGGCCTGGTGGTGTAGATTTAATTGAGCTGGGGAAACTGATTTTTTAAGAAAATGTATACCCCTGTATTGATATTAAGTAAATATATGGTATTCATGCATTGTTTAAACAGATACTCTATTGTACAAGAAAACAAATAAGTGTTTGATGTAACGTTATATTTGTTTATAACCAGGTGGACATTTTTACAGAAATTTCAGGATATGTCATAATTAAGATTAAATCAAAGATTTCTTTTATTAAAAATATCAAACAGTTGATTAACTATTATAGTTATTTTAACATATTTAAATTTATTTCTGTACCTTGTTAATTAAGATAAAAAAACCAAACCTTCAAAATATTAGTTTTAAAACCTAAAAGACATCAACAATCAAAATCATATTTTTTCTTCTCCTTTTAGAGCTTCGTTCTTTTTAAGATGACTTTTCATCCTTGGATAAAAGTTAACAGATTAATGTTTTAATTATTTATGGAATTCCATTTAAGAGAATAAATGTTTAGAGTTTAGACAAATTTAATTTAGATTTTCTTCGAAAAATACCTATTTTTAAAGGGACCAGCAATGTATGGTAGTGGAACTGAGAATGTAGTACTGTGGAGACATTTTTAGGAATGATTTGAGACCAATGAGACGTTTTTACGGTGCATATTTAATCTGCAAAATCCTCAGAGATTGTTCATTTTTCAGAGATGATTTGAGAATCGGTTTTTAAAAAAATATTCAATAATGACGACGAAAAATGCGGTAAAAATTCTAAACTAATTAGTTTTTTATATTGGAACAGGTTTAGAAAATAAGAAATCTTGTACTCGTACATTTTTTCAGTTCCAACTACACCTCATGGTTGACCATATTAACTTTTATTAAAAAATCTTTTTCCACCCCTTATTTCTAAATTTGTTATTAAATGTATTTTTTCCTTATCTCTTTGTTATAAAATAATATGGTTGTTTTTGTATAGAATTGTGAAGGATATTCAAATATCGAAATATATTTTCTATGAGAGCCATCAAGTTTTTTTTGAAGCAGTTGAAAAACTCTCTACTACAAAAGAATATTTATAGTAAGAATTTACTATATTGGTTTATGTAATGTCTCATTGTTCGCAAACATTTTCTGTAGATTTCCTGGAACTTTGATTAAAAAGACGACTTTTAAAGAATTCTAACATTGATTATTGACAAATTTCTTTTGAGAAATATGTTCCTAAAAATTTAATAGTTTACAATAAATTTTTTTCACATTTTTGCCGTCGCTACTTTTTTAATTTAAAAAAATTGATTCTCAAACCCAAATGGCTGATTTGAACGTCGACTCAGTAATTATACATCATTCAAACCTTTTCTATGTCTCAAATGATTCCTAACAAATTTCTCCACAATACTGCATTCTCAGTTCAATTACCATACATTGCCGGTCACTCCCTTTGCAGATGTATGCCAAAAATACTTGAAAGGGGTGGAAAGTTAAGTATAAATATCTATACTTTAAGACAGAATTTTGCAAACCTTCTTAAATAAAAATCACATGTGCTATTGCGCCCAGATTTTTAGAAGTATCATATTGTCCTGCTCGTATTAGGCAATTTTCATCCCCCCTTTGATATTGCCCCTTAAAGGGAAACGGTGGGGGGGGGTGTTATAAGGTCAACTTTTCCCACCGTACCCTATACCTTAAAAAAAGGAGGATGAGGAGGAGGTTTGAATATTTAGTTCTGAAAGATTGTTTTATAAAAACATAAATTCCTCATTTGATCAATCTGAATTTTTAATATTAAGGCAGTATTATTAAACCCTAAAACTATCTGATGTAGTTTGACTCCCCCTGCACCTTAAACCTATATTGCATGCTGCTGGTTTGCACAGCAGTTGGAACCAGGGTGGAAAATAATTAAATCTTTTTAAGCAGCTCACTACTTCAGGCCTGGATTGTAGGCCTGAAGTAGGCACTAGGCCTGCATCTTGCAAAGATTGAGATCAGATTAAAACATAAAACTTGAAATTTGTATATTCTTTGTATGGACACTGCTTCATCATAGTACAAACTAGGACCAGGACCAGCCCAACACCAGGGCCAGGACCAGGGCCAAAACCAGGGCCAGGACCAGGGCCAGGGCCAGGGCCAGGGCCAGGGCCAGGACCTGGGCCAGGACCAGGGCCAAGACCAGGGCCAGGACCAGGGCCAGGATCAGGGCCAGGACCAGGGCCAGGACCAGGGCCAGGACCAGGGCCAGGACCAGGGCCAGGACCAGGACCAGGGCCAGGACCAGGACCAGGACCAGGGCCAGGACCAGGGACAGGACCAGGGCCAGGACCAGGGCCAGGACCAGGGCCAGGACCAGGGCTAGGACCAGGGCCAGGACCAGGGCCAGGACCAGGGCCAGGACCAGGGCCAGGACCAGGGCCAGGACCAGGGCCAGGACCAGGGCCAGGACCAGGGCCAGGACCAGGGCCAGGACCAGGGC